GGCTCTAGAGCATTTGTTTTAAGGCTATGTTAGAAAAGGATTTCTGTTTTTGTTACTGAAGAGTCAATTTTTAGCTTGACTCTTCAGTGCAGTGTGTTGCACCCATATTTGAAGCACTGGCTTTGTAAGCACCAGCACAACCTGAAGGATTGCCAGGACGGCCTTATGTAAACAGGTCTGATTTCCCTCATTCTGAGCTTGAACAGACCAGATGCAAGCCTGTTTCAATCTTTACGTCTTATAGGCATGCTAGAGCAGGACTAAAGTGAACCTCAAAAACCCTATTGTGAGCAGACAGATCAAGTCCTCCAAAACATTTGTTCCTTGAGTGCTTTCATGTGGGTTTGCTGGATTTAAATTAACCTAAAAAGTCTTTCAAGCAGCATGCTTTGTGTGTATGTGGGTCATTCCAATTTTCTCTTTATACAACTGACTGGAGGAGTGTTTCAAGTATGAGGGTGAGGGCAAATTCTCACAAAACAGAGCAGCTTCAGCTGTCATCATCTTTCAGATAAATGTGAATTGATGTAGCGGTTGCCCACAGTGGGGTGCTTCACCTAGTGTCCCCTATTGTATTGCTGTAATAGGGCAGTGAGTATTGCTGGGGGGAACAGATCTTAGTATAGATCTTGCCTTGCTTTTCCTCATCTGTTGGGCTCTGCTACTGCTGCTTAAGAGGAATTTGTTACTCTTCCTGTTGGAGACATCCAGCTGTGACCCAAACCCAGTGACCTGGGGATGTTCAGCATGAGCTGATTATGCTTAAGAAGGGCCTTGAAACCAGGACACCAGGATACTTGAAAGGATACTAGAGAGGGTTTATGCCACTGGACACATTTGCCCTTCCCTGGGGTCTGTGGCTATTCAGACTGTGCTCAGGCTAAGGGCTTTTTTGAACTGTGAGAGCTGGAACTAGGACAAATTAAACACCCATCTTAATCAACTACCACTCTGTGAATTCAGTTGGGAATGAGACTTGATAATCTCACACTTAAAATATGGCCTTCACTCCTATGATGTCCTGTGCAGAGAGAAAGAACATTTTGCCTAAGTTCCCAGAATACTAATGTGGTTCGGACACTGGGATATACTGTAAGTGGACTTGAGTCCTACTCATAGCTGTTTGCCTCCACTTGCATCGGTTCATCAGTGGACTGCAGTGAGACCCAAATAGAGAGATGAAGAATTATATGCTGTAGATTGTGAATGATGGATTTCTTTAGAGTGCTTGTTGTAAGAGGATTGAATTGAGAATTCGTCTTGGAGTAATCTTGTTGGACAGCTCTGCATTGCATGAAACATTTGTCTCATACCTTCTGGCCTTGTCTGTATGATTTTGAGTGACTAATGCAGCTTCATAACCTAGTTCCTGTCCCTTTCCTCCCTATCCTTCATCCCAAGTCTTGGAGTATTTTCTGCTACACAAAACAGCTCAAGACAAGATGGTCCTACACAGGAGAACTTTGTGGCTAAAAAACCCTTCAGGAGTGTGTGAAAGTTGTGGTGGAGAACAAAATTGAACCTATGTTTTACGAAGCCTGACAGATGTTCTTACTGCTAGGCTACCGAGTAAAAGGGGCAGCTGAGGAGTGAGAACTGCTCATATGCCGATAATGCATCAACAGAGTTTTAGGTTACTGGCTTCCTGCAGCAAAGTAGGAAACTGAGCAGAGTGCTAATTCAATTTCCGCTATGTTCAGAGGCATAGTGATCTGTACGTGACCTTGTGCAAAGGATTATTGGTGTATCTGCCACTGAATTTCTGACAGCATGTAGCTGACAACTGCAGATAGACTCCTTGCCTTTTTTTTTTTCTTTATTCTGTAGCTGAAGCTGATGGCAGCAACATCCCTTAATTCTGACCATTTGTTGTAGGTATATTTCTTCTGTTTGTACTGCCTCATAAATGTCACTCATTCTGTACACGGCCTTTACTTGATTTAGTTTAATGTGGATTTTGTAGATCTCAGTGTATGTTAATTTGTTGGTAATAAGCGTCCAGTTACATCTTTGTCTTTTTTATTTATTTTATTTTAAAAGAGTTACAAGTATGTCCAGTTGTTAAGGTCATCGGTTTTAACAGCTAATGTGCAACATTTACTAAAATGTTGAACATAGTAACTTAGCTAGTTAGAACAGATATATTCACTTACTGCATAATAATAAATACTGTAATAACTTAAAATTAATTTTCTTTCAAACCTTCTTGTGATCATCTATTTGACCTTGGCCACTGGATGTTTTGCTCTTAACTGCAGCAATAAACTACCTACAATTAGTGGTAAAACAACGTGGGAAACTCCTTGGACTTCTTTGCGTGGGATTGAGATTCCAGTTGGTATACTGAGCTGGCAGAATTTCCCTTTGAAGCCCACAGGAAGGCAGCTAGCAGCCTGGTACAGAGCTGTGGAAAGTCCTTTGTAGCTCAGCTACCACCGGAATTAGCTAATTAAAGATGACAAGCAGGCTGGGGGCCAATTCTGACTTTGTTTTGAATTTTTCTTTATTTCAGTTTGACCAAACAAGAAGTTCGTTGAATAGGTTTTGTGGATGTTGTTTAGCGGGAATATGAAGAGGTTTTTTTACTTACCAATATTACTTATTTTTTTAAGAAGTTTGCACTTTGAGCAGCTTTGTCAATTACCCAGTTCTGAGCCTTTACCTTCTGATGCTCAGTCCAAGAAGACTTGTTTGGCAGGTAGAGAAAAAGAGGAAAGTCAACCAATAGCATATATTATCATATACTTGTATGCATGTGTCACCTTTGTAGCATTCAGACAGCTGGAGCAGGCTAAGAGTCTTTGGGAGTCCCAAATAATACCTGGTGGTTCTTGGCTCTGGGGTTTTTCCAAAACTCCAGGAATTCTCCTGCAGTGCACTCCGTGGCTGTAATACACATCCGTGGCACTGGCAACACTTTGGAAAGTGGGTGGAAAGTTAGACAGGGAAATCAGTGTTTCTGAATTTGCTTGTTTCAGGAAAAGGCCTTTTATTTCCTCTGAGGAGACAGCTGCAGCAAATGTTTCTATCAGAGTCTTCCAGACGTCCGTATAGACTGGAAATCCCTGAAACCCACTATCTAAAACTTGACATATTTTAAATACTTTAGAGTGCCTTTGAACTCCTCTACAGAATATTGCATCTCCCAACAGCAAGCCACAAATGTCCTCAAATATGGTATGCATTTTGCTTGGAGAAATGTGAAATAAAGGTGATAGCGAAAGGATTTTTAAAACAAAAAAAACTCTTTGTGAGGAATCATAACTGCTCACACTTAAGAGTGACAGAAGGGCACTGGGAGTGAGCAGCAATGACATTAGGTTAGACAGTTTTTCCCTCCAAATAGTTTTATTTTCAGCAACAGCCTTCAAACCTTCACTAGATGAGGTATATAACCCTGAAGTTAAATGACAGGTGTCCTAGCAGTAGGACTGACCTAATGAGAAAACTGTTGCCCAGATAAAACCTTCCTTCATATTGTTGTCCTTGCTATTTCTTCCATGTGCACAATCTGAAGATTTCCACCAGCAAAATTAACATTTTTTGTCTCAAAAATATTTTCAGCATGAAAGCTGAAAGCCACGTAGCTAGCGTGAATGAATTCTTGAAGGAATTGGTATTTGTATCGTATCAATTGAATAAATTAATCTCTGCAGTGTTGTGGAGGTTACAGGGTAAGAGAGTTTCTGTTCAGTTGAAGTATCACACTTTAAAATCTCAGTGATGTTCTTATACTCTCCTGTACTCGTCAGAGGACTATTTGTGTATGACACAACTTTCTTTCTAAATACTTGCAAAAGCAGCTTTGAAGAGGAAGGTTTAGATTAACTTTCTTATACATAGGAGCATTTTCAGTTTGAAGCCATTCTGTTGATGTCTGAACATGCTTCAGTGCCCGTTAACCGTAAGCTAATAGTTTTGCTAGTGGAGAGAGAGTCGTAAGTGTTGTAAAATACGTAATTGAAGATGATTCATGCTGTAGTATTGCCTCACACTAAGGAAGCTAGATCTTATCCCACTATAAGCTTTATGAATAGCACTTCACTGATGTTTCTCAAGCATGTTTGTGTATTCTTTCCAACCCTTGGAGGAAAAAAAAAAACCAAAACCGAAACAGGAATTCCTCTAAGAATTTCCACTGCATGAGGTTTTGATTTTATTTCCTCATACTTCCATTGATTCTTCTTTACTGAGCCAGTAACGGGTCCAAAAGGTAGGAAGATGCTCTGTATGTCTTTTTTTACTGGGGAAGAGAGAAGGACGTAGAGGAAGAGGAGAGGATGATTCTGTATTAAATCTCCTGCTGGTTTCACTCTTATTTCCCATGGCATCTTTATCCTAGCTTCTAATTTGCCTCTATCTGAAAAGAAAAACCTAGAAGCCTAACAATTATTTAATGTGTACTTGGGAAAATGTGGAATCATCTTTATTAAGGAAATTCTTTGGTAGTGGATGTAAACTGTGGATATATGCCTGTATCCATCCCATCTGTCTGTCAAAAATGATCTCCCTAAAACCGTGTGCTGGAGTCTGCTAAGTGAATTTCCAGGTCGTTGTGGATGATGCTTTTTCTCAAGTCTGTATTTGATGTGCAGCATGCTAAAGTCACCTGTTCAAGGCTTAATAAAATTTCTTATTATCATTGTCCTGGTGCCTAGTAACAAGTGAACTTCCCTGCAGTAGTCATGAGAATTGTCCTCTCTCTCCTCCACTGCCCTGCTAGTTTTCATGAAACTTAAAAAATTAATTATCCTTGAAATTTTGTTTTTTCCTGTCACATTTAGGACACTATTTTCAGAGGGCTGGTGGCAGGGTGGGAAAAGCAGGCAGATGAGCACAGTGCTTGATAACAAGTTGTAGAAGACCAGACCAAAATTTTGCTTCAGCTTCTGTTGATGTGAACAGGGTGTAGTGGTTTGGCAGTGCTATAAGAAATCATATGTTAAACTGTAAAATATGTAAACCTGTATCTTACAGTTAATCCCTTGTACCTTTTGCAGGTGGAGATTTACATTTTACCTCTATATATTTACCTATGGAGTGCGGTTCCTGAAAAAGGTAGGCATTTATATTACTATGCTTTCATAAGACATCACAAATTTGTTTCAAGACTTGTATATAATATAAAGCACAAGCATAAAACTCACGTTCACAAAGAATAAAAAATAAAATTTAATTTGCATTTGTGAAATAAATTGCTACTGGCACTGGTAAAGAATATAAGTTCTTATCAATACTTAATGGGGTAAAAACTCCCACAACTGGTGTAGCAACATACCTAGGTTACTTTATTACTTTTAATTCTGAGCATTAAGCTGGCAGTAGGGTTTACCACAATATTAATCTCAATTTCTGTATCATCCTTTATAAATGCCTGTGGCAGAGGTTCCTTTTTATTAAAAAACAAAATCCATTAATGTTTTAGAAAATGCTTTTTATTTGCCTGTTCTTTATCTGACATACTGTGAAAAGAAGTTTCCATGGAGTTTCCCATCAATGCTGTGTTTCTGGTGATATAAGCAGAGAAGGGTGTTGATGGCTTCTAAACACCCTGGTGTAGGTCTGTTAACCCTGCCACAGGTGGTAATATGTATTTATGGTACAAATTATTTTTTACAGCATGACTAGTTCTCAGAGCTTTTCTGTAAGTGAGGCCCTATTTGTATAATTCTGAGAGGTGAAATTAGGGGGAATGTGTGGTCTCAGTGTGCTTACGTAATCTTACAATCTTCGTTTTGGACATGAAGTGGATACAGAAAATGGATCCTGAATGTTTCTGGTACTTTGTAAGTAAAAATAGTATTAAAAAAACCCTCATCATTTTTATGATTCTAATTAATGAGGCTGTCCCAAGCGCCAGGCAAGTTGGTGCCAGTAGGAATGATGATATGCCAGTCCAGAAAGGGCACATCAGAGCCTTCTCAGCTGTTTAGCACCAGTAAGACCCAGGGAAAGTGTGTGCACCAGTCCTCCAAAGAGACGAGCCAATACATAATGTGCAACCCCTCACTGCCTTTTTGAACATTTACAATTTCTGTGCGCTTCATCCATTAACGTGACGTATGGTCATGATACTCTGTTTTCTGCCTTTGATTCCATCCATGTTTGTGGTAGGAAATACAAGAATAGTTTTCATAAGCAATTTTCACAACTTAAATTGTTGGCCTGTGGGTGTGTAGAGAGCATGACTGTGGCTTCATAGGGTTCTGTAATGCATAAGGACACTGAGTCTTTATCTTCTGAATTTCTTTACTTTATTACAGATTATCACAAATAATCACCATTGGTACATTAGCAAGTATCACAAAATGACTACTGCAAAGCATACTTATGATTAAAAAAACAAATCTCTCTCAACACAAAGAATACGTCTGTTCTAGGAAAAACTCTGAATACCAGCATTTCTAAAGAATAAGAAGAGTGTAGTAAATGCATGCTTCATTACAAACCATTGTGAGCTGTTTCTAAAGGCTGAGCTGACATGCAAAGTGTAGGGTGTCTTCCTTCCAGTTCAGCTGAAGTTTGAGAAGGGCTGGCTGATATAGAATGGTTGCTTCAACAAGGTATACCTATACTGTTACTTGCTTAACAAAGATCAGCTGTGTAATTTTGATGTAATTTTAACTTTCAGTATGTTTAATTTTTACAAAAAGAACTTATTCATTATGTAATTGTGTATGTATTGTTAATTACTCATTTTTACACAGTGTTGCAAATGAGTCTGGCAGCATTTTGTGCTATTGTCATTATTCCAGTGTTCTGCTTTGTATACTCGGGTCATTCACATGGAATGTATGCAAATCAACAAAATTATGATTGTGATTGTATTTGTATTTACACCATCTCCCTAGCAACATTGTGTAACTAAGAGGAAGTGCAGGCTTTTTGCTGTTTATCAAAAACCAAACATTTTGCTGCATCCGCTTGAGGGGGGGAATCTGGGTTTGGAAGGAATAAAATCTAGACCCCGGAATCTGGAGGAGTTGCTTATTTCAGAACTTCACTACAATACCAAAATGGATAATGCTTTTTAGTTTGTCTTGGTCTTCTTAATGGAATAATTTCGAAGAAACACTTAATTGATTCCTTAGGAAGCTCATGGGAAAAAAAGTTAAACATAATAAATTCTCTTACAAATTTGATAGAAAGATCTTTCCTTCAAAAAGCTGTTTTTCCTGGAGAGAATGTCAGTGGTGTCGTGCTGTGCTAATGCTACAGTAGAAGTTTGCACCCTTTCAAATAAAAGTTCTGCTTAAGACCATCCCTAGTGTACCTAGTCCAGAAGAGTGATAAGCATGGTGAGTAAGCCCAGGTGCAATGGCTGTCCCAGAACTATCACAGCAACATATGCTGCCTCACTGGGAGAGAGTGAGAAAGAGTAAATACTACAGATGTTCCTGTTTTGAAGAATGGAATATGCCACCAGCATAGCACCACATTGGCAACATTCACATTGGCTTTTAAAACCTAAACTAATGCTTAGTTGATACATAACTTTGGATTGTTGAATAAGATATTGTGATGAAGTAAGTCTTTCAAACATCCATAAGATTATATTTTTTTGAGAAAAACTGCATTTTGTTGCTGTTCAGATGGACAGAATCACTGGATGCTGGTTAGTTTGTCCATTTCTGGATAGCTAAGATGCCTGATTTAAGAAATCTGGTTTTGCCATCTGGAGTGGGAAGTGCTCCTTATTAGTTGCTCTCATGACTTCTGCTCTTATGAGGTACTGCTCTTAGAGAAGTGAACCAACTCAATAGTACAAAAGGCTCTTCCTAAAACACTACACTGAATGCATTGCCTCTTTTATAGTTTCTTTGTTGGCTCTTGAATTGGGAGGCAACAAAATACTCCGACTTCTATATTGTCCTTCCCCCCAACTTGACCTAGTCTCCTTGCAACCTGCCGTTCCTTTGCTTGGTGCATACATTCCTAACCTGATGGGTACTTTGTTTACATTTGGCTCTCTTAAATGTTCCTTCTTTAATTTAAGGATGAAATTTAGCTTTACCTACAAGACTGGCATGGGGCCCATAAATTACTTAATCATCACTTTGAGTTAGTTTTGAGGTTCTTTGCTTTGCACTGGCTCTTTGCCTAGAGATGAATTTCACCTTTTAGATTCTTTCTCAAAACACTTTTCTCGTAATGGCCCCAGCACATAAATGCTCCTTTATCTTCTGATGTCACCTTCCCTATTTGCTGCATAAAGCAATATCACTGCATCAGTGCAGTATCAGAAGTGTGGGTGTCTGTGTTTCCTTATTCACATCTAACAGCCTAAGGAAGACCTAGTCAGGATACTCCGGCAAACCACCATTCTTGCAGAGAATATCATTAGGTCTTTATGGCTTTGTAAATCTTGACAAGCTTATCTAGCTTTTTGGGAAGATGTGCCCAAGCTTAATAAAGCAATAATTAGTTAGCAGATTTATCAACTCTTTTTTAGTTGTTGAATTGTGATACTGTCAGCATGGTATACATACCAACGTTAATTTATTTTTAGAATGGTAGTAACTAACTGCAGTAAAGTTTTACATTTGCCTGGCTAGAACATCTTGCAAGATGTTTCAGCTTTGATTTTCACTTTCCTATAGAAGCATATGAAAGCTAATAAAGCTGTCATTCAAAGCAATCATAGCTCTCTCTAAAATGCCGTGGCAAACTTGTCTTTGTTACCATCCATAGCGGGAGTTAATGGCTGATCTAGATAAAGAAATTTCTGCACTCACTAAAATAACCTGTAAGTCTTTGTAGTAACACTGCACATGATATGATTTATCAATTCTTTTCCCATGCTATAGTTGCTGAGTACATTGCTGGAGATTTAAAAGCTTTCTTCTCACTGAAAGCTGTATCTCTTTATCAAACTGTTCTCTTGGGTTTTGTCTTTTTTCCCAATAACAGATATATGCTGTTGACTCATAAATAAAGTAACAAAAAAATTTCTTACTTTTGTTGAAATGTATTTTCAAAAAAAATCTCAATTCACAGGGAGAAATGTCTGACAAAAAGCTTTGTCTTCAAAGTTTGCTCTATTGCAACAGAACCTGTCAATCTATATGTTTTAAATACATTTTTATCTTAATGGTGTCTGCAGGACACTTAGATTGGGCCATTTGCTCACTAAAGTTCACCATGAACTCCCGAAAACCTTTTAAGTTGGGAAGGCAGAGGATTTGCAATAGGGTGTCCTGCATGTGTCTGTAGTTGTAGGCCATGGAATCGTGATCACTGACATTGCATATGTTTTTTATCAATGTAAAATGCTCAAAAAAGTGTGCTTCCACCTTCTCTCCCTTCCTCTATCCATATGGACATATGCTTCCCACAGCCTCTGGATTGTAACAGCTGCTTCACACACTCTCTCCTGCATCTTGCCAACTCCACCACTGAACTCTCGAGGCAGTAGACCTTTATGGAGTTTGCGCTGGTCTTGTCCTCAGTGTCCCCTAACTCAAATGGGTGTATGTTGTCAACTTGGTCTTTGTTGTGACATCATGTCACTCATGAAGTGACATTATAAGAATTAATTTCTTTCTTATAAAATGTACTGTTGATGGCATACACCATGTTCTGCTGCTTTGATTGTTTCTTGGGCCTAAAAAAACTACCATTAGTGTCCACCACCTTCAGTCAAGAGGTGATTTTTAACTGCAGGGTGCAGCTGTGTCATTAGTATGTCTTACAAAGGTTTGTAGTATCAAGGAAATACATGTTTCTTCCAAGAATTACTCTCTTCCAAGAGAGAACTAAGTCTGGTAAGAGAATAGGGAAGGCAAGACAGTTGCTCTCTTACTCAAAAATGGAGCACACATAGAAAAATAGCTCACAGCCTTCCAGATACTCAGCCAAACCATTGCATCACTTACAAATTGTATCTTAATAATGTATATATAAGAAACCGACAGACTTCTGTAAAATTTTTCCCATAGTTATTAGTGTTTAATTATTGTATTAGACATTTCTCCCTTCCCCAGCTGTCAGCCTTTTTTTTTCTCCTTTGCATCAAAATAAGTAAATTAATATTACATAGCTGGTTTAATTTTATAGGG